CAACAAAAACCAACCCAGCGCAACAAAATGCCTAACTTCAGGTCAGAGCTAGGATCAAAGTGGGTAARAGTGTGATTGATGAAATGCAAAACAGATAAAAGCTTACAAAAGTTTAGAGAGATGGTAATGCCCAGGAAARGCACCCAGCCTTTAGGCCAGTTTTACATTTTTCATACCCTGTCTGGGGCAGCTAACAAACTGACAGAAATACCTGTTAGTTCTCTCCGCTGAGAACCTCAGATTGTCACATTTGGCAGCCRCCTTTCCTTCACATGTACATGACGCTGAAGAATGCAGTGCAGACATCACTAGGATACTTCACATTTACACCCAAGCATATCAGAGCACAACTAACTTCCTGCTGGTCCTTCCTTTGTTAAGTTTTTGTTACTAGGCTGCAATTATTAATGTTAACATTAATTAAGTAGCAAAAGGTACATGAAGATCAGTCCACAAAGTGCCTTTGGAAATTCTATACCGCTATACCAGAGGCTTGAAATACCMTTGAGAATCCAGGCTGTGTGTTTTCAGAGCTGTCACCACACAACTCTGTTTTGTTATAAATTCCTGTGGGTTTTGGTGGAATAGGATGTATGTGTCRTTAATAGCATTTGAGTGTCAGGTATCGTATGAAATATACAGGTAAAGCAGAGCAATTGAAACAAAAGCCTGAATAATGAATATGGTAAAAATGTGTAAAAACAGCTCAACAAGAAGCTCACTTGAAAGCAAGAATGAGACAAGATAAGTGTGTATTAATTATATGAGGGAGATTTGGCTGAAGGTATAGCATGTAATTTCTCTGTACAGGATAAGGACAATGAGCTGTTTCTATGTCTGAGACCATAATGCTTTGGTCTACGGCCAGTGGCCTCAAGTTATTCCTTAATGTCCTTTAGAACATAGAGAGTGGCTCTGAAACATAACTGGTTCATGCTCTCCACCCACTCACACTGCTAGCTGATTTCCTAGGCTCTGAAAAGGGGGTGAATCTCTGCAAATGACAATTGAAGGCTGTAGCAGAGCCACTGTGCATCCATTTCTGTTCCCCTCTTAAGGACGGGCTGTGAGGGCAGAACTCCTATTTCACAGGGTGCCTTACAGAGGCAAACATAAAAATATGGAGGGTGGGGAAATCTTTGCAACAACAGAACTGGAGTCACATAGCAGCTACCACAGAAATCCTGGGGCTGCCCAGATTTCTGCCACAGAAACCTTGGGGCTATTTTCAACCTTTCATGCCTGTGTGTATAAGGCTGACATCAGTGTGTCATGTGTTGTGTCTTTGGGGGAATCTCCTTTTCTTCAAAGAAAAGAGAATACCAGCAGACAAGGTTGTAAACATCAAGATGAGGCATTATTTACTTGGGATAAATCTGACTGTCACTGTCACAGGAACATTCATTCCTCTGGAAAAGAAAATAATCAACYGAGCCAGCATTTTCTCCCAATTTGGGTTGAGGCAACCATGGTATTTTATTCCTTCTGGCCTCTAAATTTTGAAGCTTGAAAGACCTGTTTCAATAAATAGATGTGGCCTAGACACTGCTTTTACAGTAAAGTCTGGATCACCAAATTCCCCTCTATCACATTCAGTTGCTTATAGAAATGGTAAGCTATATATAGCTTACTATTTATAGCTAGTAAACGATAAATAGCAAGCTCTAGATAAAGAAATAGCTGACAACACCCTTCCGGACGCAATATTATGAATAGTATGAATTATGTTTCTTGGTTAAAAAAAATCCAATACACTGATTTAATGTTACTTATTCACCCAACACTACATCTTACACGTACTCACAACCAAAGCTGTGACAAAGATCACAACTGAAGACAATGATATTGTACTTTTCTCACACAACCAAAACTTTAACCACTGATGAAAAGGTCTGCTTTCAGAGTTGTTGCTCACACCATGTAGCTCCTTTCAATGGGAGAAAGTGAGAACAGGGAAATAAGCTCAGAATTACTGTTCGCATTCAGGAAATTTGGTAGAAYTCACTTTTCCTTCTTTGCTTCACTTTTTAGTGAGCCAACCATAGAGCTTAAGCTCAACCATGCCATGATGAAATAGTGTGTGAATTTTTCTGCTTCCTTGGTTGTTAGGTTCTAATATGTAGGCTTCCCAGACAAATCCTATGATCACAATTTCATTCCATAATCCCTCTTTCAGCACTGAGTAGCAAATGCCAGACACATCAASTGCTGCACTCAGACATGCACAAGTGGCTTCACCTTTGCAATGCCAAGTGCCTTCTGTAGGGCTCAGCTATCAGTTGCAGCCCTGCACCCTTCCACCTGAGCTGCTATGTCAGTCTTTCTCCCTTCTCCCCATACTTTTGCCTTGGCCTACCACTTGCAAATCTCAGTGGGTTCTCATAGAAAGTGATTGCTCATAGTCTGAGAATCTCATCTTTTTTCTCCTTGTATCTGGTTTGTAACTTTAGTTTGTATTAGGGGGAAAAMAAGAGTTAGCAAAAAGAAAAGTAGATAATAATCATGTAAATTACCCATAAGCATTATCAGTCATAAATACACACAAAATGGAGTGACTGACACACACCACCTGTGACTGGTTAAATGTGATCCTGTCAGCACTGACAGCATCATATACAGGAACAGTCAAGAGGTAGCTTGGCTGTGTCCTAATGCTTAGGGCAGAGTTAACAGAGGAGAAATCTTGACAAGACTAATTATAGTCACCTTCCTCATCTTCACCACTTGCTGACTCTGGAAGGGATGCCACATTGGAGGCCACTTCTGGGGGCCACATTGCTTCACTTCTGGCTGGCTGCTTGTCAGGCACTTCCTTCTCTTCTTTTTTTTCTCTTTCCCCTAAAGTAACTTCAGGTTGATGCATGGACCCCACTGATAAAACTTTCTGCAGGTAAACCTTTCTCAAGAGGTGTGACACTGTCTCCAGTTGGCAAGGTCTTATTGTCAGCCCCTGGTAGAAATGGTGGGAAGCAGAGCTACAGCCCATCCCAGTAAAAGACACTGACTCTAGGTATTATTTCTTGAGCCAGTTTTATTCAGTTGGTAGAGCTTAACTTTGCTCTACAATGTAACACCTTRCTCCAGGACAGAGCTCTGCAAAGAACTAAGGTTAAGTAACCCCATTATATAGACTATATGGATATTACACTGAAATTATCTGAAGATTCACTGGGTTTGATTTTTGTCAAAGTTTTATGCATCACTGATTATTTCAGTGGTTCAAGTAAGTATGGGCTCTGTTCACCTCAAAGTACATTCCTGCTCTAGACAGATACTTTATACTAGGAGCAAGGTAAAGGAAGTGCGAGGTGCAAGGCACAGACAGAGATTTTTAAATTGCCACGAACCTGGTTATTTCACCCTATCCCACATTTGACCGCTGCCCTAAGCAGAGAAAGATCTCAGTGCAGGCCGGGCAGCAGAACAGGCTTGGCAGAGCTAGCCGCGCTCCGGTGTGCTGCCTGCTCCCTCTGCTGGCATCGCCTGCTCCAAACTCTGGAGGAGTTTGACTSCGGAGGAACGGGAACTGATGAACAGCTGGGAGAGAAGAGCCCTTGAGCAAATGAGAGTTACATTTCCTTCGCAATACGATAAGCCATCAGTCCTGCTCACTACCGTCAGCAGCCTGCAGATCACGTCTCACTTACGTATGTCTTGGACCTGTTCTCTTAATTAATCATTYCCCAGAAAACTTGTATTTTTCTCTCCAGTTACTCACAGTAGCACAACAGTCACAGCTTTTTGTCGCTTCATTTTATGTGCCTCAGAATCTGTGAAGTAAGCAATAGAGTARAAAGAAACACAGTTTTGACCTCATGTAAGAATACCCTGCAGTAGGCAAATATCTGCAATAATTTCTCTACTASAGCACCTACTGTAGGTCTTGTCCTAACAGTGCACAATAGACTTTTTCAATAGTTTAAGATCATCAGCCTTTTTAAATAACCTCTCTGATAGTGGTGGTCAATTCATACAAGCTTTGTGAAATCAGTACAGGAGAGGAAAATGCTCTTTTGTCTTCCAGTCAGAGGAAATGTTAGTGCTGACTTCAGCTCTTACAGCACACTAGAAACATACTCTGCATCCCCTAATCCTGGAATCAGAACTCACACCTTACAGCACACMAGAAACATACTCTGCATCCCCTAATCCTGGAATCAGAACTCACACCTTACAGCACACTAGAAACATACTCTGCATCCCCTAATCCTGGAATCAGAAATCACAGCTCATTAGACATAAGTAAATTAAAGATGAGATAACATTGGAGGAAACAAAGTTCTATCAGGTTTAAATYTCACAGTAATAGAGGAGAGTTAGCAGTCAGGAAACAAAGTGTAAATGAAAAAAGCTGTCCTTGAAACACCAGAATTTGGGGGCATAATTTTCCTTGGAAGCATTGTAGAAAGCTATTAAAAAACCCCATGTTTGCTATTGGGTATTATAACAAACCTGAGTAGTGACTTCTGTAGCAATTACAAAATCTATTGATCTTACACTGTATCAATGAAAAATGAGGACTGGCATTTTGAAACAGTATTGTAATTGCATAAGAAAGGCCAGGATTCTGCCAGTGTTC